TGTGTTTGTGACATTTAAAAATAATTCTTTCCCTAAAACTAGATTAAATAAAATAAAATTGATAGTTTGGCTGAAATACAGAACAAAATCCAAGTTCTTGAAAATAGGAAGAGAAATGTTAGGGATTTCACCTGAGGCCAGGAGAGCAAGTTGCTCTCTGTTATACCTAAAGTCAACAGTTCAGAGTAAACCAGGAGAAGGGATTGTTTAGCAATGTTGGTTGAACATTTTTGAGGTGATGAACACAGAGAATACAAGGATGAATCAGACCCTCAAAGCTATAATTTCAGGGACATGCTGATGGTTTATCTGGACTGTGTGAGAGCATAGCCCTGGCAAATGCAGTTATCACACTTTAGTATCATTTCTAAGTTTGTGTATCATCATGGGAAAAGATGAAATCTTTTCATGGGGTCTCAGTGCCCAGAATCTGTGAAGCATTGAATTCCTCTTCACTTATTATTTATCTTTGGACCCCAGGGCCTGATACAGTAAGGGCCCAGTCATATCTGTTGAAGTATAGAACTGAGTCTCAATTCATGAGGCTTGGAGGTTGAAGATGGGAGCCAGCCCAGCAGCTGAGAAGTCTGCACAGGAAGGGCCTGGCCAGCTGCATGGGCCTTCTGTGCACATCTCCTTTTCCAGGGGTTCTGCCCCACCCACTCTTGCCCCACCTCTTGAACCCATTAGGACCATGGAGAAGAATATGGTGATACAGAGAAGAGTACAGAAGATACAGAGTGCACAGCTGAGTGATTTACTGTTATCCCTGATGCTTTCTTTTAAGAATGCTCTCTCTTATTCCAGGAAGGATTTTAAGGCAGATGAGCACCTATGAGGTTCATGGCACATCTGCAAACAGCTTTCTCATTTCTTCTCAAGTGACTTATTTCAGATACTTTACCCCAGAGACATATGTGGCTATGGCCATGCATGGGCTGTCATTGTTTTATAGTACTTTGCTTCCAGAGGGTCCCAGGGCAACCCCAGCAGTCATCCCTGAGGGCAATCACTGGATGCCAAGATGATGTCTTGAGTTACAAACTGTCATCATCAATTACTTCACACCCATGAACAACCACATGTTCTAATTTCCAAGGCTCTCATCATTGGAAACCCCTAGAAATGGCAAGGCCAGAGCTCAGTGGCAGTTCTGCCCACTCATGTGGGTGTCTAAGTGGCACGAAAGATGAGTCTCCCCATGTGTGTACACACATACCTCAGCATGCATGTGTGCTCATAGACAAGTCTCCCAGCCTTTTCTTCTTCAATTTTCAGAACCCTATTTGCTTACTTATTCAGTAAGATTCACAATAAACAGGTGGCGGGACATTCTTATCTTGTTAAACTTTCTTGATAAGGATTGCCAAGGCTCATGTGAGCTCAGGGAATGCTGAAAACAACATACCTAATTAAGTATGTTAGAAAACTAAATGCTAATTAATTAATTAGTTGGTTTGGTATAGTTGAATCAAGAGACAAAACACCTCCAGCAGTCTCCAGCCACCTCAGCTGTCCTGTGGTACAAACAGGAGCCCTGGTACTTGAAGTGCATAGGGGATTGCACGAGAATGTGTGGATATCAAGCCCCATCCCAGCCCTACTAGCCAGAATCATTGTGGGGTTTTCGTTTGTTTGTTTGTGTTTTCATTTTTGTTTTTGATACAGGGTCTTACTCTGTAGCCCAAGCTAGCTTCAAAATGATGACCCTTCTACCTCAACCTCCCATATTCTGAGATTGTACGTGCGCACCACCATGCTCAACCAGAACTCGCCTTTTAACAAGATACCTCAGTGATGCTTATGCACATTAAAGTTTGAGAAGCACTGGGTCAGACAAACGTGGATTGGACCATCATTTGAGACTTCTATGCTCCCTGCCTCAGTGAGCACACTCCCAGGGGCTAACACTGTTCCTTCTGTGCCTGGAATAGACCCACATGCCACGTAGTGTTGTCTAGGGGCCTGACAGTATGATTCCATTTTTAGAAATAGCATTCTCTACCTATAATCTGACATGACCTTCACTTTCCTAAAAAGGTTTGAATTGTTTCCAAAGTATATCCAGTACTATAAAATAAGAAAATCTAGATTAAAAAAAAAAACCCATATGCCTGGGGGAAATAATATAAAACCAGGGGTTGCCACAGCATATAGAAATGTTTGCCACCAAGTCCCATGCATTTGCTGCTTCTGTGTAGCAGGCCTCTTAGCTCCAGTTGAATTCCCTAGTAATAGAAACAAAAAAACCCCACAAAGCCAGGTATAATGGTATACACCCATAGTCAGTTCAAGGCCATCCTAGGCAACATAGTGACACCCAGTCAGAAGGAAGGTAGGTAGGTGGGTTTTCTCAGCATGGGATCTGGTAGAAATTTCTTCAATACATCTTCAAAAGTGGCCAGCACCACCTACATTTTCCATCTCATGAACTATTATGCACAAAATGACTGTTTAGTGAGATTTTGTGCTTATAATATCTCTTCAAGGCAAAGGAGTGGTTTATATGAGTGCCTCTATAAAGAGAGACCTTTTCTTATTCTTTCTGCTCTGTCATTTGCTAACTTGGCCTTTGCAGCATCCTTTCTAATTAACCTGCTTCACCCTCCAGTGCCTTACCTGGTCCCTTCTATACTTGTCTCCATCTGGGCACTTCTTATTAAACCCTCCCCACCCATCACCATGGACTGAGCAAAGTGCAGCACACACACAGTGAATGGTCCCTCCTTGTATGAAATGGTGAACCACACAGCTGAGGTGTTGAATGACCTGTACAGGGTGTGTGCCACTAGTGATCTGATGCTGCCTTGCTTCCCAGCTTGTGCCAGCAGTGCTAAAGGTACTAGAAAAATCAGATGTCAGGACTTTGTTTTCCACTGGTAAGTGCCTCAAAGGTCATCTTTTCCTCTTTGTGATTTTATTTGAGCTGGGTTTGTAGTATTTGTGAGACCTTCAGATCTTTAGCTTAGAATTCCCTGGGCATGTTATATACAGTCTATCAGAAGTATAATGTTCCATACACTTTCTCTTCAAGAATGTAAGCCAGGTGCAGTTGCTCACACCTGTTACCCAGCTACTCAGGAGGTGGAGATCAGAAGAATTGCAGTTTTCAAGACCATCCCAGGCAAAAAGTTAGGAAGACCCCTCTCAAACATACCAGACATGGCCTATAATCCCAGCTACTCAGGAGGCAGAGATAGAAGGATCAAGGTCCGAGGCTAGCACCAGGCAAAAATGACTGGAACTGTGGCTCAAGCGGTGTAGCACACAAGGCCCTAAGTTTAAGCCCCAGTACCACCAAAAAAAAAAAAAAAGAAAGAAAAGAAAAAGAATGTGATGTTTTCCCTGCCAAATAATATTAAGGACAAATATTTCTTTAAAAGTATCAAGTCAAGGACTGGAGTCATGGCTCAATCTGTAGAGTGCCTACCTATGCAAAGCCCTGAGTTCAAACTCCAGTGCCACCAAAAAAAAAAAAAGGATCACAACAAGTTTAACATTCTCAGATTATAGAAGGACCCTCCATGTGTCTGGCAAAACCAGAAAAATGAATGAAAGAGAAGCCCAGGGGGCCTCCCCTCTTCCCCTTCTCACTTGGTCACCCTGCCCTGCTGCTTTCTGGATCTTCAAACCTCCTCTCCCTAGCTGGGAGATGGAACTGTGGTAGCTGCCTGCCAGGCCATCAAGATGGGATCTTACATAGTGCTTGTTTCCATCCTCTTAGCCAATAGTTAAGGGAAGGAAACAAAGCCAGTCTTAGAAAACAAGTGACATCTATATACCTTTTCACATTTCTATATATCATGCTTTCTGAGGTTCAGATCCTTCTTGGGGGGCTTGGACATACCAGGACCTTTCATTGGGAACTTTTGAGGATTTGGTGGGAGACCCACAGGAAACTTTTAGCACATGGTAACTCTTGTTAATGTAGTATTTTCCCTGGGTCTCCTGCAAGGGCTTGCCTGTGACCAGCATGTAGCTTCAGACCACATTTTGCAGCCCCTGGCTCCCTTAGCGTTTGCCCTGCCCACAAACAGTGCTCCAGTTGACACAAGACCCTTCAGCACTGAAGCCCATCTTTTCACACACACTGGGCTCAGGAATTCTTTTCTTTCCTGCTTAGAAGGAAAAGAAAGACATTTTTATACTAGTCTTATACACAAACATGAAAACCAGTTTTAACCCAGGGTACCTCCAGATTGTAGTGATAAAAGCTTGCATATGCTGAGCCTTTGTTTGGTGCCAGGCACCTCATACTCTCATATCCCATTGAGGCTAATTTTCCATAGCCCCATAAGGTAAGCATTACCCACTCACAGGTGAGGCTCAGAGCAGTGAGGTGACTCGCCTAAGGCTACATAGCAGGTTAGTGTGAGAACTAGTGTTCAGGTTTGCTGACCACCCCCCCATACACACACAAACACATCACCTCTCTCCATGTGTGAGTTGGACCAGATCCACTGAGGGGAAAACCATAGCATTGACTCGAGCCACCACAGTAATGGGGAACAAAAAAGACATGAGAGCACTTCGGCTTCCAGCTTTATAATGGAACAGGGAAATGATGAGGTGCCTCATTTATAATGCATCCTCATTACTATCACAAAGAACAGCTACCTTTGTGGATACATTAGGTGGTGAGTGTGGGGGGATGCAAAGCTGGGTGAGCAAAAAGTTGTTCTGCATAAGAGATGGCAAAAAGGGTTCCCAGAGCCCTTGAAGGAAGCTCATGAGTATGGGAACTTTAGAGACCCACATTGGGAAAAGGCCCACAGAGAAGTCATGTTGGGGACAGCACCAAGGAGGAACTTCAGAGGGACACGCCCATTTCTAAGGAATGTCAGTAAAATCTCTCTCCCTAATTGCTGGTAACATGGATTGCCCTCCGAAGAATGAAGGGCCACCATGTCCTGCTTCACTCTTGGTGCAGGTGAGGCAAGTTCAGAGACTAACCACAGACAGCCACAGGAAATTATTAATCTTGCCATTTTATTTCTCAGGCAGCCTCAGAACCTGTCCTGGATCCACAGCAAATCCAAGCATTTGATCAGCTTTGCCACCTCTACCGAGGAAGTTCCAGGGTAATATTTGTGTGGTTGTTTAATTTTTTATTTCTTTCTTTATAATTTACTGTTTTGGAAAGGCAGAGTCCTCGAGCCCTGCTCCTAGCCTCCTTCTTAGCCTGGAAGGGGCTGTGCATCCCTGCTACGGCCATGTAGCTCATCAGCCCGGCTCCCAGGGAGCGCTCAGTACTTGGCAAAGAGGGCAGAGGCAGTGGAAACATGTCTGTCCCTTACCTACCATGGCCATGATGACACAGAAGGGCTTCTCTCCAAGTGGGCAAGCCAGAAGCCTAATCCCTCCTCCAGGAGGCCTTTGTTTATATCGGTGACTGCCACGCCTGCCCTAAGACCCAGCCCTCCTGGGCATCTGCGTTGGTTGAATTCGGTATTAGCACCATGAAAGACCGAAGCCAAATAACAGTGGCTTAAACACTGAAGTGTAAAATGCAGGTGCTGGGCGTCTGCCATGAGCATCCTCCAGATTTCCTCTAAGCTCATGGTTTATACTTGAATGGTTCAGCATGGTTGCTCCAGCTCTAACCATCACATCTGTATTCCACCTAGCAAGAGGAGAATAGGGATCAGGCGAGTAAGCTCTCCCTAGAAGTTGTACACACAACTTCCACTTACCTCTACTGTTCAGAATATGGCCTAACTGCAGTGGAGATTAGTTAGCAAATCTCATCTTTATTCCAGAAATCCAAGGCTGAGCTCTTGCTCTCCTATAACTGTGGGAGAAGAGTACAGATTTAGAGAGCCACTAGCTGTCACTGCCACATGTCAGGTGTCCCAGTGGGCACTCAGAAGTGTTCTCATTGGTTCTCTCAGTCTGCTCGTCCTTGCCTGTGTCTGCCTCCAGGAATGGCACGTGTCCCATCCAGTCTTCATAGCAGAGAAGCCCTCACTCTCCATCCACTTACTCGGGAGGCCCTGTTGGTATCCTCTCCGCTCTTCCCCTTCCCTTCCAACTGCCACTACCCTCCAGTCAGGTCTCCTTGTCACTACAGGGTGACTGCAGATCCTCTGAGTAGTTAGCAACCCTCCTGTCCCTTACCCATGCAGCTATCTGGCTCCACTGGGGCCTGATACGGCCTTGCTTATAGTCATTCTACTCCCCTCCCAAAGGAGGGACCCAGGCCCTGCTACCACCTCCACCCCCAGGTCACCCAGCCCGCTGGTTTCCAGAGCTTGCCCCATAGATCTGTCCTGTGCTCTACCTCAGTGCCTAGGCACCCTACCTCCAGCCCATTCTCAGGCAGACACCAAGGAAAAGTGACGTTCTCTCTGAGAGTTGGTCTAGACAGAAGTTCTTGTTCTAGGAGACTTCTCCAGAGGTCTCCTGGACATGGTGCACCAGCTTGATTGAACAGGTGTCACTCCATCCTTTCCCAGCTGCAGCCAAGCTCTTCCCAAGCTCTTCCCAAGAGCTGGTGCTCTGGACCTTCTAAGAACAATCTTCTGCTTCCAACTGCTGAGCCCTTATTCAAGGCCTATTGATTTCCTGGCTACTAAGTGACAGAAGGAGAACATAGAAATCTCTTTTCTTGGGAAATAGAAAACAGTTTTTGTGGTTAGTCTTTCTACCCCACATCAGCACTGATCTTTTCCAAGCTCTGTACGTGATCTCCTCGCAGACCCTTCCTTCACAGGCAACCAGGCAGCTGAGAGGGTCATGAAAGAGAGCAGGCAGCACAAGGTGGAGTTCAAGCAGAGAGAGGGGCATCTCTGCACTGTACACAGCATCAGTGGGGGCCTGGCGCATTGCTTGAACCAGCCTCCCTCCGGTGTATCCTTGGCCAACTCAGGGCTCACAGTCAGAGTGTAAACATGAGGTGACTGAGAGGGCCTGAGACCTTGGCCATGTTGCTGAGCCAAGACTTGAGGCTGGGTTAGTTTTGATAAAGTAGCACTTAGAACTTAGGGACCTTCAGATAATTCCTCAGTCATCACAGTCACTGGTCATGTTCTCAACAGAAGTGACAAATGGGCCTGTGAGCCTTGTGCCATTATTGCCTGTGTGATGGGAGACCCCTTGCCAGAGGTCAAAGCAGATAGGAGACAGTGTAGGTGAGCAGGGCACAGGAGACAGGCAAATTATCTCCACAGAAGCCAGAACTGTAGGCAACTTGGCCGAGCTGAGCAGAGGTTGAATCCCACCCTACTGGTTACTGCTGGAAGACCTGGGCTGAATTACTTAACTTCTCGGGGTTGTTGTGGAGGATTAAAAATAATACCCATGTGAAGCACCTAGCATTGTGTCTAGCACTGAAAAGACACTTGATACCATCACCTGAGGTTTTCAGAGGTCCCCAGGCACCTCTGACATGAGGCAATGGACCACGTGGCTCTGAAGTGTTTAATGGCTCATTCATCACAGTCACCCTCTCTTCAGGGTGACCCCCACAGGTCTGGCCTGTATGTATGGTGGTAGGACACAGTGCTCCATCTCCAGGTCCCCATCCACTCTTACCACAGAATTTGCATCTTGGCCCTGAGTGTCCCTTCAGGTTAGTGCTATGGGTGGGTCCTGGTGATTGATTTCTTCTGCAGCAGCCACTTAGTGGGTGAAAAGCTCAGGCCCCTGGGTGTGAATTCCTTTCTTCTTAGACCATCAGAACATTTCAAGTGCCAAGCTGTCAAGATCAGCTTTTGCAGAAAACCAGTTTAGGTGAGATGAAGCACCCAAGGGTGGAACCTGGCTTCCCAGCGGGCTGGCATGAATGTCTTTCCTGACCATTCTGCACCAGGCAGGTCCTCTAGAACTGAGCCACTAAAAGACAAAGGGTATGGCCCAGGCTGCTGGTGGATATATAAGGCTGGAAATAGGAGTACTCATTTGAATTCGAATTGGTAGCTGAGCATCCATTTCTAGCTATCCTGGTTACAAGAGAGGGATCAGAGGCAGCAGTCATAATTCAGGGCCACACACCCCACAAAGAATGTGCCAAGAAGAGAGCATGGAATGAGACAAGCTTGGAATGGAGAGCCCTTGGCTAAGGGTGTGTCAACAGAGAGAGGTGGCACCAGTCACACACAACAGCTGAAGACGAAGCAGTCAGGGTGTGGGGGCTGGGATCTGTAGGTTCTGCCTGGCCAGAAAGCAGTTTGTGTGTCCCTAGAAGCCAACCAGTCCGGTCTCACTACTGAGTGGGGAAAAATGAAGCAAACTTGTCACATTACTTGTTTGTGAAACACAGCCCTGGGATCCAAACCCAGGATTTCCAGTCATCCTGCAATGTCATACTGTCTCCTATGTAGCCAGGCAGGGGAACATGGGACCTCTCCACCTCAGTCCCCACACATGGTCTCTGTCCCCACAAGCTCGCCTGACGTATGTCCCCTTCTTTGCAGCTGGCTCTCCTTACGGAACTCTCCCAGAATCGCAGCAGTGACAGCTACAGGCCATTCAGTGGCTCTCAGAGTGGTCCTGCTTTCAACAGCATCTTCCAGAACGAGAACTTCCAGCTGCAGCTCATTCCCCCACCAGTGACTGAGGACTGAGGCCACCCCAGGGCACAGCCCTGAGAGCATGGACATACCAGGGCAGTGGAAGGGGTTCTGCACAGGCTCAGCCTCGCTGCCTCACACTCCTGCGCAGAGGGTACAAGAGGGACCTCTGTACCTGGGCTCCCACCCACCGTTCCCAGTGTAGACTGTATGCCTGTCTCTTTCAGTGCTGTCGCAGCCTCAAGACTACCAGACTGGCCAGTTTTGTTTTGCTTGGAATGTCACATACCCCTGCCCAGCTCTTTAGAAAATAGTGTTATGCCCTTTGGGACTTTTTCCTGTTTCCCCTGAAGCTTGGAGAGTAGGTGGAGCCTTGCTGATGGCATTGGAAGGTAACATGGAAGGCATCCCTGTGGGGCAGAGCTTTCTAGGCTGCAGTGTGACAGACACAGCACTGGAGAGCAGCACCTGCCTTTTGATGTGTTTATGCTAAAACCCATGTGAGTGACTGACTTGCACTTCCTAACAATAAACGTCTCTGAATCCCGCAGGCCTGCTAACCAGCTCTCAGTCTGTCAAATCTTGGACGATGTTTAGTGGCATGGTGCCACAGTTGGATTTTTGTCAGCTCCGGGTCAGGGACCCCACCTCTGTTCAGACAAGCAGCTCTACACTAGGTTTCCACTGTACACTCAGATGCCCCGTTTCATGGGTTCACTCAAGAATGATCAGGCTCTCATGGACGATGCTAACCAAACCCACAGAAAACAGGTGTGAACTAGATCTACATAGACTTCTCATAGAGAGTAGGTCCTGCTTCTGCCATGTGCTTGCTGGGATCCTGAGCCAGTTACTTAATGTCTCTAAGCCTCAGTCGCTTTATCAAATAGAGCTGTTAGGAAGACGAAATGAGACCAAAAATGTAGCACACTGTTTTGCAGGTACATGGTGAATGCTCAGAAATGTGAGTTCAGCCTTAATGGGACAACTCCTCCGGAGGACTGGCTGCATAGCACTGCCTCCAGAAGAGGGGGTGAGGAGGCTCTTCTGCTCACACCTTAAGAGAAATGGTTAAGCATTAAGTGGTCGCCAGTTGGATGCCATTGCAGCTGCATGAGATAGTCACAATCTCGGCATACCTAAGAAAGCCCAGGTTCAGAGAAAATAAGTAGTTTAAATGACACTACTTATCCCAGCAGAGCAAGGATTTGAACTCAGATCTGTGACTCCAAGAATTCCACCTCCCTAGCAAGTGTATCAGAAGGTTTTCTGTGAGCCTACAGTTAAAGCCAAAGGAACCTAATATTCTCAAGGTACAACTCAGTGGTCGTTCTACTTTCTATAGTCTAAAGAACAAAGGCAAAATAGAAAAAGAGTAAATTGTGTATAATTCTAGCACTTGGGAGGCTGAGGCAGGGGGATCACAAGCTTGAGGCCAGCCTAGGTTACATAGCAAGACGGAATCCCAAAAACACAAGATGTAACTGTGACTTCAAAAACATAAGATATATGGGAGGGATGGAATAAAAGCATCATTATTTGATGTGATCAAAGTAAAGGTATTATCAGCTTAAAATATCCTTTTATAACTGTTTTATGTAAGCATCATGAGAATGGTACCCACAAAGCAAAGCTCTGTAATACACAAAAGATAAAAAGTAAGGAATCATGGTGGGCACCATGGCTCATGCCTGTTACCCTAACTATTTGAGAGGTTAAGATTGGGAAGATTGCAGTTCAAGACCAGGCAGGGCAGAAAGTTTGCAATACTCCATCTCAACTGCAAAAAGCTGGGCATGACAGTATACCCTTGTTATCACACTTACGGAAGAAAGCATAGTGTAGGGTTGCAGTCCAGCCTAGACAAAAAGTGAGACCTTATCTCTAACCAGACAGCAAAGGACTGGGAGGCATGGCTCCATGTAGAACTTGCCTAGCAAGTGCAAAGCCGTGACTTCTAACCCCATTACTACCAAAAAAAAAAAGTAAAGAATTAAAACACACCCCTAGAGAAAATCACTCCCATCTTCCCTGCAGCATTAGTCATAATACTCAAGATACAGAATTAGCCTGTGTCCCTCCACAGATGAATAGGTGAAGAAAATGTGGGATGTGTACACAATGAGATACTATTCAGTCTTTATAAAGAAGGATTCTCTTATTTATGACAACAGGAGTGAACCTGGAGGATGCTGGAGAGTGAAACCACCCAGGTATAGGAAGACATGATCTCACTTGTGTGTGGAGTGTAACAAGTTGAACTCACAGAAACAGCAAAGAGGTGATTGCCAGAAGCTGGAGTGGGCTTGGCATATTGGGGAGATGTTGAACACAAAATTTTCATTAGGAGGAAAAAGTTCAAGAGCTGTACTGGACATTAATGTGTTACGTATTTGAAAAATGCTGAGAGTTGACTTTAAGAATTCTCACCTCAAAAAAGATGACTATGTGAGGTAATGCATATGCTGACAAGCCTGACTTAGCATCCACAATATACATACATGCGAGGTTCATAGTGCACACTGTAAACATTACACAGTTTTACTTGTCAATTAAAAAATACTACAAAAAGAACCAAGGCAGTTTGCCACATCTCCAAGCCCTGTTCAAATCAGAACCAGTAAACAACAAATTCTTCCCCTGCCCCTTGCCTATTTATCAGTCCCCAGAGTTTCTTTACTTCTTGTCATCCACAGCACAGTTGAATAAATTACAGCCTTTTCACATTCAGGTCCTGCCTTCCTAAGAATGTATCCAGATTGGATTTGAAGAGTCCTCCTGTCTCATCTGGGTTAGACAAGGTGCCACCTCTCGAGTGCTGGGTAGCCTAGGCACTGCCATCTGGAAGCCTGCCCTTGTCCTCTCTAGAGGCACATAGCACATATCCTGTCCTGTGGTGACTTCAGGCTCCAATTCATAGCAGTTCCTTAGGAGCAAAAACTTAACCTGGAAGTAGTATCAGATCAGTAAACACCTGGTTTTGTGGACCCCCACCATGGTGCTTTCTGGGAGAGAGTGGGGTGCATCCAGGGTCACAGCCCAGGTTTGGGGCCAGGCTCCATGTGGGACAGATAGCTCCAGCCCCAAGGCTGAGCCCCAGCTCTGTTTCTAGGTCACATGCTACACCTTGGCTGTGACAGATGATAAGGAGGAGGGCTAGGGGAGGGAGGTTCTAGAGACTCTTCAGCTACCATTTGGGGAGGGTGGGTACATGGCCTGAACTTCTCATACTGTCCCCTGGAATTGGGAGGGAGGAATTGATCCCCTGAACAGCATCAGAGCACTGATGGGTTGGCCAAAAAAAAAAAAAAAAAAAAAAAACACCACAGTGTCTGTCACAGCTTTTTCTCCTTTGTACCTAGTAAACAGTAAATATTCAAATGGACGTCTATGTCACACCTGAAAAGTTTCCTTTAGCTCCAGCTTCAGCTGAATTCACCCTGCCTCCTTCACTCCTGTAAGCCCCCATTATACTCTCACCCCCTGGCTGCCCTAGACACAAAAAGTGACCAACACACAGCCACTGTCCCCACAGGCACTTGCCATAGGGACAGCAGTGGACTAAGCAGAAAACACCCCCATCACTTTGTCGACATTCATTTTTATAGTTTAATTCCTATCAGAGATGGCTAAAAGTCCTTTTAGACTCTCAGGTTGTACATTTGCTCACAGTCTGGACGTCCCTTAAATCAGTCTGTTCATTTGGACACTTTCAGAACCTGGCGTGGACCTTGCATTATGCAGGGTCACTGTTGTGTTATTTGTCCTCGCCTCTGTCCTCCACTCTGCTTTTTACATTTTAGCCAAAGGGAAGTTTTGTTTTTTTACATATTAAAACTAATGGCACCCTCTTCAATAGGAGCATCCCGTTCCTTGGGATAGGGGAAAAAAACTAGCCCAAGTTTTCATGTTGTGTGCTTTTTTTTCCTCTTTTTTTATTAGCATATAATAGTTATACAGTGGGGATGCATTGTGACATTTACATATGTGCTTATAATTTATCTTCATTATATCCACCCCTCCATCGTTCTCCCTCATCCCTCCCCGCTACACCCCGCTCCCCCGTCTTAGAACAATTCCATCAATTCCATCATGTCACATGCTTTCTATGTGACCCTCCAACACTCAGGTTTGCAACTTACTGGCCAGCGTGGTGCTAAGAGGTGAAACCTTTAAAAGATGATCAGGCCACGAGGGCTCCTCCCTCACCAACGGGGTTCAGGCCTTTAGACAAGAGGCTTTTGCAGAGTGTTTGGCTCTGTTGCCCTCCAGCCCTCTCCACGGACGCAAGCTCAGCCCTCCACGTTTGGAGTTCCACAGCGAGGCACCTTCTAGGAACAGAGAGAGCAGTCTCTCCAGACAAATGAGTCTGCTGACACCTTGAGCTCGCACTCCCCCACCTCCAGAACTGTGAGCAATCAGGTATTTTGTTATAGCAGCACAAAAACAGCCTGAGACCATGTTTTAATAGCAATCTGCTCATGTTTAATTAGCATGGAATTTATTGAAAGGCATGGTATGAGATACACCCAAGTCCCTTTTCCTCATGCTGTGGTCCACATGTCCTAGCGTCAGTCAAGGACTGAGCCAGTTGAGGGAAAGCAGGGGAGGAAGGGCCTCAAATCCCTGCCCTGCCCCCAGCCTGACTTCCTCTTGAGGTACCAGCCTGTGGGTCTCCATCAGGACTGGGGCCGTGTCAGAGCTTCTGGCTTAAGGGGCTCTTGGCCAGAGGAATGGCGCTGGGCTTCCACTCTACCCAGGACCCAGCCTGCAGCAGGTTCTAGGTGTGCATCTGGCTCTGTGGTACTGTGTGGGTGTCCACGCAGGGAGTGGGGTAAGGGCACTGAAGCACCGCCAGGGTTCAGAGTCATTGCTGTCCTCGGTCCTGAGCTGCCCTGCCTACCTGTGCGTATGTGAAGGCAACCTGGCCTAAGATAGTGGGGGTGCCCAGCCACCAGGCTTGTTCCTGTTCTCCCTCATGTGGGGCTGCTGTGATCCCATCTCAGAAGGCTAGGCTTGGAGGCCTCCCAGCTGATGAATTTTATTTGGAGCCAACTCCAAATTCTCCTGGGGATGAAGAGTGAAATCCTCTGGGGAGGGGTCTATTCCTGCAGAATGGTTGCATCTAAGCAGGTTCCAAAGTTCCTTCCCAATTCGCAAGGAGCAGCTGCCCACACTCCCGTGCAGAGGCAGGGCCAAGCCACATCCCACAGAGGCTCACAACAAGTGGAGCTGGGGAGCCTGCTAGCACACATTGGAAAGGGACCCATTTGTCACTTGGAGCACACTGGGTGAAGTCAGAGGCTCTGGGAGGGTCAGCAGATAGAAAAGGGCTGCTTCTGCTGAATAAAGACACCTGGCCAGTCTGGGACAGTGCCCACCTTGGTCCCTGAGGGCTGGGAATGGTCTTGCACATATTTCTCATGTCGCTGCTTTTCTTGCCCCTGGAGCAGTGTGACAACCTGAAAGATGCTGACCTTTGTCATTATGCAAGGTGTAGATCCATCAGAGTGTAGGGGTCCTTGAGCTAGTGACCAGTCTTC